AAACATCGACGGATGAATGCGAAAGAATACACGTACACAGATCAATATCTATATAGAAGATCGCCTCTTTCAATCCTTAATAGTGAATAGTTCAGTAGTACACGCTACAACTTTCGCAGGATCAGCCGGTAGCACGGGTGGATGCAGTAACGCGGGCTATTCTAATGACCCGTATGGCGAATTTCAAGACGTTATTATAACAGGTTATGTTAAAATTTCATTGCAGGAACATCGGGAAACGGTATCGTTAGACATTAATAAAATAACGTTATCAATAGGTACGGTTTGCAAATCTAGTGACGATAAATGCATCGATAATATTCTAGGTTACGCTTTTTGTGGCCCAATTTCCATGCACGAGTGTCCAGAAAACAAGTTCACAGACTTTTATACCGGATACGTAGATATACGTAGAAAAAGATACATGAAACAGGGTAGCGAAAGGCAATCACTATACATGTTAGACACACAAGGAATGTCTTTCGCGTTTAAAGATCTAGGAGCATTATCTAAATGCGGATTTGTCTTGACCAGAACGGAACATCCGAGAATTTTTATCCTTGATGATTAAAATAAATATACTTTTCCGGCAATAAAAGATAAAAATATCATATTTGCATACTATAATTTTTAAATACTATTTGCATACTTTAATGCAAAGATACTTTTTTTTTGAGATACATGTAAGAAAAAGCTTATAAAAATTATATTATGACGTGTTATTTCAACAGTGTGAGTAAGAAAAGAAAGTGATAATGAATGCACTAAATATCGCGACAGTTAGTCCGGATTTATTAGCCTATTAATTAATGAACGGACCAGGTTATATGAGCCTACTCGCATGCGAAGTCATTCACATAATTACGTGCTTACCTGTAGACGTGTGCACAAGAAACTTTTCATCGTGCTATCAGGAATTACCTGTAGAACGCGACGGAAGACCTATATTTATGACACCGCGCACTCACATATGAAAATTTTTCGGTACAGAAACAGCTTGTAACGAGACAATACCAGTAATGTTTAAGGTGGGAAGTGGATGGTCTAAAATGTTACCAAGACCGACCTATTTTGGTGACGGACCACAAGCTAAAAACAAAACAAACGTGGAAATATTTAGCGGCTATCGATATAATAAAGAGCGGAATTTATAGTTTGTCAAATATTGAAAAATTAAAAAGTTATATCATGTTTACAAACGAACAAACCGCGATTTTGAATAAAGTAGTAAAAAGTGTATCATTGAACGGACGTCCCGGAACAGAATTATCATTTTATCATATACTTAATTAGCAACAATGTGTTTTGTAGAATACTTAAACAAAGACATAAAGAGATATATGTGTCAATACAAAGGGTCTAGCCGGGTAAGATGGTTAAAAGTGCCGTCGAGCCTCCTGAAAAAGTAAATAGGGCATTTTGTTGGGATTGTTTAGAAACTCCTTTCCCTAAATTTTCAGACCCCTAGACCAATCTGGGGCAGTATGGGACCCCATTTTATGTTTTACAGTTATTCGACGATATCTCGGTCAATTTTCGAGCTAGAAAAAATTTTTGGCGCCAAATTCAAATTTTTATTACGTTCTAAAATATTCAAAAATTTTTTTTTCAAAAATGATAGATACCTCAACGCTGGAAAAAATATATATTGTGTAGTTTTACTCTAGAAACACGCCCATATTTTTTTTAGATTTTTAAAATGTGGAGAACGTCCTTTAAAAAAATAAAAACCCTTAATAACATGGATTTTCGCTTCTAGCGCCGTACGTTCAAATTGTATGACAAAATAGATGACGTCATCAGATTCTACGTCAAAAAATACATCGAAAACATGTGTCATACTTTTGAAATAGAGTGTCTCTTTCATTAGTTTTTACGAATAACATCATTTTCTACGCCGTTCGTCCCGGCTGACTGCGCCGACACTCAATTTTTTCGACTACAACGTCAACCCAACATTAATTCTACACATAAAATACATGTTTTCGATGTATTTTTTCATGTGGAATACGATGCTGTCATCTATTTTGCCGTATAACTTACTCGCAAATTGCTAATAGCAATAACTACTAGTTTAGTTTTTGAATTCTCGCGCTCTATTTTCGTGGACCCTATGCCTAGAAATGGCGGATACAGATATTCATGCGGCACTGGCCAACACTAGCCAAGATTGTTTGGTTCAGTTGTTCCGCTCAGTTAGCTCAGTACCAATGCTCAACGGATTTACCAAAAATCCTCTGTTAAAAAATATTAATGGCTAAATATTCAATTTTTTATTGTTATTCATACAATAAATCTATTTATTTTTTTCTTGTAGTCGGTATATAAATTGCATTGCCTTAAAAAGTGGAACAATCAACATCTGTTCATTGTGGAGGTTATGCAAATATTTATTTTATTCTACAATATCATTTTAAATTGAATATCCAGTGATAATGTTATGAAAAAACGTTGTACTGAGTATTAGCATTGTTGCAAGGTTTTAGCGACTATCAAATAGATTCGAAAATATTTCGGTTTTATTTCGATATATTATTGTTGTCACTTAATGGTACAGCAATATATTTAACAGTTGCTTAACGTTTAAAAAGGTAAGCAGTACTAATATCTAAGGTTAAACTAGGTATACTTCTAGCAATAAGTTATTAATTTTATTTCATGGAAATGTTACAGCAAATTATAGTCTATGAATGAGAAGGATTGCTTGCTTGTTAGAGAGTTGATGGTGATTGATTTTCCATGTAATGTCCAAATAAAAATCTTCAATAAATCTTCAAATAATCTTCTTCTTACATACTTAGTAATCAATTGTACCAATCAGTAAAAAACGAAATTTAGTCGCTTGAAACAGTCAGTGATCATGACTTAGGAGAAATTCTGAAGACATTCGATACAAGGTAAATTAATTTAATTACTTTTCTAAGGTTAATATTTGTATGATGAAAGAAAAACTTTTTTCAAGCCTTGAAAGCTTGAAAATATAAATTATGTGATTTTTATGAATAAAAAAATCTTGATATCTAAGTGAAAATCTTAGGCAATTTTAAAATTTGTTAACCTTGATTGTAGTTATAAACTGATAAAAACTTCGACCTTATAAATAAACCTTTCTATGCAAATTGAATTCTGGATATACTATTATTTAATTTTTTATTATAAGTTGGTGGTCATATAATATAAAAACTTATATTATTGATATAGTTTTATACACATGTTTAGATATAACTGTATATAATAACTGCAAGTAGAACAGTAGTCTATATTCAGTAATATTTTCTTTTGCACCTCGACACTTAATACTGTATGATGAAAATAAATATTCTTGAGGTGTCAGCAATCAATAATTTGATTTCCTGCCAGACGGAAATAAAAATTTCTTTTCGTGAAAACTAATGATTCTCCTTTGCTTCTCCAGTTATTGTATTTACATTATATTCGCCTTCCTATGAAACTATAATATCCACACAGCACTTAGTTATAGATGAAAAAAAATGAAAAAGCTGGAAATCATTGAACTTGGACCGTAATCTATATTTAATAACATTTTCTTTGAAACAAAATCTAGTATACAAATACAATCTACCTTTGTACCGTATTCTATAATACATATAGAATACCTTTGTGAATTAGAAAAAAAAATTAATTTTTCCCTAAATTGAAGTAGAAAGCCACCTTAAAAGTGATTGGTCAATTATTGTAACTGGTAATGCCGCCTTATTAACACCTATTGTTTGGTAAATTAGAAAGTTTTCAAAGCTATCGTTGAAAAGCTAAAAAAATACCATTTTTTTGATTCTCAATAATTTTACTCTCAGAAGTAGTTGAATTTCCATTAGTTTAAATAACATGGAAAATGATTTGAAAAAAAAAATATAATTATACATAGTTATTCACCGCTTATTTTCTATTGAATGCAAATCCTTTCATAAAAACATTGAGTTTAAAAAGCTATCAGATAATCATGTTATTGAATATTGAGAGTATGTTAGTTTGCTGTTTGTTTTGATGCATTGTTTGGTTTGATGCACAATGATCTGCGATTAAAACCTATAATAAATAACGTAAATATTTTGAATCTCAGAATTTTCATGGGGTTTACAACAATTTTTACCTGGTTTGAAAATTTCATATGATTAATCATATGATCAATGCTCAATCATATGATCAATTGTATGAAATATCTGTGATAAATCATATGATTGATCAAATGATTTATCATACGATCAACCATATGATATTGAATTTTTCAGAGAAATAAACTTGGTTTGTCATTTGATGAAAGAAAAAAAAATGCCTAATATTGCATTTTTTGGCATCATATGATTTATCATATGATTTATCTTATAATTTATCGATAATTCATATGATAAATTACATGATAAATCATACAATTAATTATGATAAATCACATGATGTCTAGAAAATGCAATATTAAGCACTTTCTCTTCCATCATATGATAAATCACATAATTAATCATATGATAAATCATATAATGAACCAAGTTTTCTCTGAAAAATTCAATAACATATGATTCATTGTATATGATTTATCACATGATTTGTTATATAATTAATCATATAATTTAGCGATAATCATATGATAAATCTTATGATAATGCCGACCGAAAAATTATATCATTAATCATATGAAATTTTTCAATCGAGTACGGTTTCCTTTGAATTCAATTACGCCCTGCAGAAACTGTAAGTTCTATACAGTTTGAAGGTGGAGATTCATTATGATCCTTTTAATAATCAATATGATCCTTCAATTATTTCAAAGGCAAATAGATTTTCTAGAAACGATTATTTTTTTAATTCATCTCGTAAATCGAATTCTTTTCTTATTATTTGACAACACTACAATAGATACATTTGTTGAAAAGAAAAATATTGTTTTTTTCATTGTACTTTATAGCTATGTTGAATATTTTAGATTTTTCTTGATCTGAATTCGTAAAATAATCGTTAAAATCTTTATCTTTCAGGTATCAATCATTATGGCTAATTCAAAAGTTTATAAAAAATGTCCTGTTTGCGGGTTACCAGAAAACAGAATGGTCGGATACAAACAAATAATTGAAACAGATGGTGAAGCTTCTTCTTTGTCCGACTATTTAACTACAACTGTTGTACTTGGAGATATTCTATGTCGTAAATGCAGCGGCATTGCACGTTTAGCAAGGTCAAAAAAACGTAAACTTGAAGAATCAAAAAACGTGGTTAATACACCACAGTCCGACAGCCAAGAATCCACATCATCTTCAGATCCATCATCACAGACTTCTAAAAATGATCCAGTTTATAGTCCACAGCAAGTTCAACCTGCTGTTAAAGAAACTATTGAATTACCTTTCAAAAGAGTTGTTTCTGCTCATAACTATTGCTGTCTGTGTCGAACTAGAACAGGAATCGTCAATATTCCTTTTGAAGCACGACAGCAAGCATTTGTTGAGAAGGAAATATTTATCCCACAAGGTAACCGATGTTGTCACAGACATTTGATAAAGAAACGGATTTACGTTGAAGAGTTGGATAATTTAAAAATAGAGGCGCATTCATGTACTACAACAGCTGAAGATATTACCAAATTACTCAAAGCTATAAGTATCACGTCCGATAGAGAATTACATGACCGAATCGGTGACTTTTCTATCTCTAAAGACAGAATTCGCGCATTCACAGGATTGTCGTGGGAACAGATAATAGAATTGAAAGAAATGATGGTCTCTTTAAGAAGTACAGCAAATCGAACTGTTACGCAAGCTCTGGTTGTGTTTCTATTCAGACTGCAAACAGGTAATTCAAATGAAATGATCTGCTCTATTCTCGGACTTGAACGTCACCAACAAGTTTCTGAGTTTTCAAACTTTATTTTGAATTCTTTTGAAAAGGATGTTTTGCCTTCGCGTTTTGGTTTACATGCCGTCAATCGCGAAGATTTGATTCTTAATCATTCATCAAATCTTCTCCAAAAACTTCATGGCATAAGTGATAATAATCTTGCTCTTGTTGCTGATGGCACCTACTTAAAGCATCAAAAGAGCTCCAATAACGAATATCAAAGAAAATCTTATTCAGGGCACAAGAAACTTCCATTATGTAAGCCATTCACTATATGCACTACAAATGGTCTTGTTGTTGGTATCTTGGGACCATATTATGCCAAAGAAAATGACGCTAGGATTTTAAAAAAGATTTTGGATGACAATGAGAGTGGTCTGAAGGAGTTGATGTGTAAAGAAGGCGATGTTTTCATACTTGATCGCGGCTTCCGGGATGTAAAGTCGCAATTAGAAAACGATGAATATCAGGTTCTTATGCCAGCATTGAAAGGCAAAAATGAGAAACAGCTGTCAGCGGAAGATGCAAACAAATCGCGACTTGTTACAATACTGCGTTGGGTAGTGGAAGCTGTACATGGTAATGTAGCTCAAAAATATAAATTTTTTCACCATCAACTGGACAACCGCTATCTGCCTGCAGCTGGTCTTTACTGTAGGATAGTTTGTTTTCTAATAAATCAATTTGGAAAACGACTTATTACCACTGCTTGTTCAGATAATGAAGTATTACGTTATATACTTGACAAAAACTCTAAAGAAAATAGCTTAGCTACAGAAGTCAGAGCAGGAAAATATAGCCGTAAATCCAGTTTATTTGTAAGATTAACATCAGCTGATATACAGGATTTTCCCGAAATGACAATGAAGGATCTAATAAGATTATTCACTGGAACATATCAGATGAAGCAGGTGATATCATACTTGGCTGAAATGATGGGTGAGACAAATGAGTTTAATGTAGGTTATTGTAAAATATCATCTGATCTTCTCAAGGTAGAAGTGAAGTCGAGACATAGAGAAAATACAGTGTACAAATGTTATATACATTATAAACCAGAAACTCTGGGCTGTGCTGGCATTCTACGCTATTACTGTGAGTGCCCTAATGGCGAGAGAACAATCGGGTGTTGTTCTCACGTAGCCACCGTTATCTACTATTTATCATATGCTAGAATGCAATCCTATATTATAAAACCTGCAGAACAACTTACGAAGATTTATGAACAAGATAATACCATTCCTGTTATCGAAGAAGACAGTGATGAGGATTGATATAAATTAATGCATTTTTTTATGTTGTCAAAATTGATAAAATATATCATAATTGAATAGATTGTTTATTTAATATTATATAAGTTGCCTCATCATTTATGAACCATTTTCCATGAGTAAAAAGATCTTTATTTTAACATATATTGGACTTTATGAATCCTGAGATAGAAGTTTATTAGTAGTTTTATTAGTAGTTATTGCTATTAGCAATTTGCGAGTAAGTTATACGGCAAAATAGATGACAGCATCGTATTCCACATGAAAAAATACATCGAAAACATGTATTTTATGTGTAGAATTAATGTTGGGTTGACGTTGTAGTCGAAAAAATTGAGTGTCGGCGCAGTCAGCCGGGACGAACGACGTAGAAAATGATGTTATTCGTAAAAACTAATGAAAGAGACACTCTATTTCAAAAGTATGACACATGTTTTCGATGTATTTTTTGACGTAGAATCTGATGACGTCATCTATTTTGTCATACAATTTGAACGTACGGCGCTAGAAGCGAAAATCCATGTTATTAAGGGTTTTTATTTTTTTAAAGGACGTTCTCCGCATTTTAAAAATCTAAAAAAAATATGGGCGTGTTTCTAGAGTAAAACTACACAATATATATTTTTTCCAGCGTTGAGGTATCTATCATTTTTGAAAAAAAAATTTTTGAATATTTTAGAACGTAATAAAAATTTGAATTTGGCGCCAAAAATTTTTTCTAGCTCGAAAATTGACCGAGATATCGTCGAATAACTGTAAAACATAAAATGGGGTCCCATACTGCCCCAGATTGGTCTAGGGGTCTGAAAATTTAGGGAAAGGAGTTTCTAAACAATCCCAACAAAATGCCCTATTTACTTTTTCAGGAGGCTCGACGGCACTTTTAACCATCTTACCCGGCTAGACCCTTTATAGTTCATTACAGCAGGCAGTTATGCACGCTGAACAGATTAACAATAATTTAAATGAATTAGAAAATCTGGCAAACACAACAGAACTAACAATTAATCAATTAAGATAAATTTTCAATCCGTGTTTCTTTTTCTCAGAAAAAATAAAAAAATATATACTACAATAGCGAAACGTATAAAAGTAAATCAAACGATATTATTTTCATAATAAAAATAAAAGGCTATAAATATGTAATGTCTGCGTCGTGTTATATCAAAACATTCATCGATCCTTTTAATCGTTACATAATGAAAGGAAATTTACATATGATCAATTATAAACATGATCTATTAGATTAATTATGTAAAATTTGTAAAAGAATATTATTTACGAAAATTGTAATAAGTGTGATACACGATCTAAGTCAAGCAGGGATTAACAATATAATTAATATTAATAGTCCTATAGTTTTTATTGGTAGTATAACTTATTGAATAATATATATCGTATTACAGTTTCCAGAACAGACAAAAAAAACCATTCAAGATGAAAAAAGCCGCAATTTGCCTGTGTTTTCTTATCGGATTTACGGAAGTCAGGGGACGAGAATAAAACCCCGTTGTACATCTGATCGAAGACAATCCAGGTATTGCGTTCCATAAAATTGAGAGTATAGCCTTACTCGCGAAAATTGGAATTTGCTAACAATCATTGACCTGCAGTACACATCGTATTTACTTTGAACGAAGTGCTTACAAATAAAATAACTAGTCTAAATAGCATTATCGTACAAGATAATATTTCCTATATAGAAGCAAGCTCGATAATATAGCATGTTAAAGAACAAATGAAAGATATTAAACGCGTGGACGATTCCCTGAATCGTCTTGTCAACTCGTTGCATGTTGACAAAATTAGGGGGGAGTAAACGCTTTATCTTTTCAAAACAGTTACGCATTAAGTAACAGTAAAAAAGTTATAGAAAGAGTAATAACATGCATATAATTGACCTATCTTATGTTATAGACAAAGAACCGAACACTTATTTCTTTGACAATGGCCTAAAAGAACAAATTAAATCAGTAAACTTAAAAACTGACTACCTGAAAAGATGTGTGCAACTATTAAAACAGAACCCAAATACAGACATCTCTGGTTATTTTCCACCCGAGAATACGATTCATTAAAAATTAAATGCACAAACAAATTAGTATATATTCCAAAGCTTTCTTCTGGCATAGTTGAACTTCCAAGGTTATGCAACATATGGGCCGACAGAAACATTTATAAAGGTGCGACCGATTATAAAGTAATAAAAAATCTAATTATTCCACCGATTCGACTAACTCTTTTAAAGGTAGACCAGTTGTTAGCAAGTACAGCTAAAATTGAGATAAAACCAATCAGTACCTTAGCAACAAAAGTAGAAACCAAAATAGTGGACTTATCACCTTGGAACTTTGTATGTGTCGGCGTTGCGACTTTATGTTTAATTACAAGCTCTCTAATTATATTCATTGTATACCCTTATTTCAACATAAAACAAGGTGGAAAAGGCACTGCGGTGAGCGAAACATATATACTAATTTCGAGATTAGATACCGGATTCAGATAAGATTTTACAGGGCCACCGTTTTACGAGATACCTTAAATGCCTCTTAAGAAGGTTCATGTTTACGAAAATATGTTACCAACTCTATCGGAAACAACCAAGCATGTAGAACTGGCTGAAGATTCGTCGGAACAATTATGTATTGGAAAGCTCCGAATCGATAATTAGCAAAGAATAAATACTAACCTTAAACACATAAGTATGTCTGTTGTCAAAGGAGTCAGCTGGCTAGTTGCAGTTTCTGTCTTAATACAAAAAATTAGCAATTATTATAAGTTAAATAACGCAAAGAAATGTTTAATTCTGCGGGGGAACGTCACCTGTAGTATTAGGCTAGGTGTGAGTAATAAAAGTTTTCCTAGTATCACTAGAGTAGGTCGTCGATTGTAAAATGGTAATCATCTAGAAATATAAAAGCAGAAAAAGAGGAGTAGGGAATTAAAAAAGATAAGTCCTAAAACGAACGGAAAAAAGGAAATTTGTTAGTCTATAGAAAACAGCAGAGCAAACAATTGAAATAGTTCAGTGAGAAAAATGTACGCTAAGTTCGTGAGCATCAAGTTGATAAGTGAAAGAGGATATTGCCACGGTTTTCTCTTTAACGAAGAAGGCATTATGCAACGAGACCCTCTAGGGTTGTTTGAGACTAGTGAAAATTACTGTAAGATACCTGATCTGTTCCATATCTATCGCTAAGAACTTCGCCGCTGGCTGAACGAAACCATGAGTGAATTATGGATATAAAGTACAAACTTTCTAGCCAACTAATGCTTATGAAGTGATTGGGGAAATACTGTACAACAATTCACCGGAGTTCCAAGAACTGTCTAAAAAGAGTGCAACGAAGGTAGCGTACCACTTGCTAGGTCTGTAATACCCGTACTCACAACAACAAGCCAGAGGGAGACGCTTTGCATTAAGAAGAAATAACGAGATTTTACAACATCCAGAGTACTCCACAGTACTAAAAGGTAGTACATACTGGGGCCAAAATTCACTTCACTACCCGTCTCAAGCAGTCAGTGAATGTACGGACACATTATTAGGACCGTTATTAGCAGTACGTGAATGTCGTTACTGCAAGGTGTTGCATTTAAGTAAACAACATAAAGACGTGTTGGTTCAATTTTTAACATGTCCCTTTGCGAAACATCGCTAATCACTGGAAAATGAGGACAAAATGTATCCGTTTCATCAAGGTGGTACCGAATTAATTCAGGCAAGGAGTAGGGAAGTGGATGAGTTATGCCGGGAGAACAGTAGTTATTGGGTAGATATGAAGTAAATAAAAGTTTTTTTTTGTAAATATATATATATATATATATATATATATATATATATATATATACATACATATATTTTTTTTAATTACTGTGGATTTTTATCAATTAATTAAGTACTGCAACTCACTGGTAAGGTTTCTGCGAAAACAGTTGTCGAAGATCGCGCTGAACTGGACACATGGTTCTCGAATAAATTAGCTAGTCATAAAATGTATCTAGTAGTAGGAAAAGAGTGAAAGTAAAATTTGTATGGCCAGACTATAGATTAAGTTCCTGGTATGAAAGGTGAGCCAGAATAAAAAGGGAGTTAGTTGTCAGTGAAACATCGTCGTGTCAACTAGGTCTTCTGTCAGTAAAACTGCAAGCCACAGTTCAATATGTTCGTGAGTAGTGTTGGAAAGGTTGGAGTCTACCTTCGGAAAAAATCATGGATTTGTCATTACTGAAGAAGAAATTGTGAGTGATCCATTAAATTTGTATAGTCACAGCCCCGAACCCTACGAAAATGTGATGTTGCCGAAGATGTATCGATGTGGAATCGTCATGTGGTTGAAAGTGAAGCAGTAAAGATGGGACGGATGTCCAGAGCAGGTAACCCTACAAACCAAGGCCAAGTTTTAGGTCAAATATGTTATGAAAACTGTGCGGACTATAGAAAAGCATCGGAGCTTTCCGCTCGAATGATGGGCTACGATCTTCTCCTACCACTAGCGCCTGGAACAGACGTAATAAACGAACATTTGCAGATTTAAATGAAAAGATGGGAGTTGAGATATGAAAACGACCATCAAAAGTATGTATTTTACAGAATTTATTCCACGATCGCACGTAGGAAGTAATCGAATGGAGATTCAGAAGTGGCTAGACTATATGATATAATTTTACCAAGGAGAACGAGTTGAACGCGGAAGAACATATGCAGAGTTCATTTACTTGCCTTACGGAGGTAGAGGATTCGCGGATCTATTAACTTATGATAGTTGCAAACAATGCGCTCGCCCTTTACCTGTGTAGCGTTTCTGTAAGTTATGTATCTTGAAATACTTAAGCCATGGATCGAAGAACATCTTTCTAATTAGCTGAAATTACTGGTCGACCCCGCATCAATATGCTCTACGAACCGGAGAGAAATGCCGTATGTACAAGCGCGGTAACAATGGTGAAGAGATTTTCCATCGAAGATTGAACATCGTGTGGAGAGGAAGTTTTTTACCTTTTGAACAATAGAGACTAGTTAAGGATGTGATAAATGATGCTTTGAAGTGTTTGTTTATTAATGTATGTGTGTGTGTGTGTGTGTGTGTGTATGTGTGTGCGCGTGTGTGTGTGTGTGTATGTGTGTGCGCGCGCGTGTGTGTGTGTGTGCGTGTGTGTGCGTAATAACCTTCTGTTTATAGATAATGCGTAGATTAAACTCATTGTATGTAATGTATAAGTGTAAATGCATTTTTAGGTCATATTTAGAGGTATATCGATTGACTATCGTTTATTACTATTGTATCGAGTGCAACTTGCGAGCGCCCTGCGTCGCTATTTTTCAGGGGTAGGCGTGTAACGTCGGGAACAGGTCAGGCTACATACGAGGGTGGTCCGATAAGTACTTTAGCCTACAAAAGAAAAACGAAAATTTTGGAAAAGTGGCGTTTTATTTTTCAACATAGTCTCCTTTTAGTTCGATACACTTGGCCCAGCGATGCTCCAATTTCTTTGACCCGTCTGAAAAATACGTTTCCTCGAGGTCTGAAAAGTAGGCTTCCGTGGCAGCGATTACCTCCTCATTCGACTTAAATTTCTGCCCGGCCAGTGACTTTTTCAAGTTTGGAAACAAAAAGAAGTCGCACGGAACTAAATCTGGAGAATACGGTGGATGGGACAGCAGTTCGTAGCCTAATTCGACCAATTTGGCCATGGCGACGGCGGAGGTGTGAGCCGGTGCGTTGTCATGGTAGAAGAGCACTTTTTTCGCCAAATGGGGCCGTTTTTTCTGCAATTCGACAAATTAGCGAAACATCGTTATTAATATTTATTTATATTATAAACATCATTATGTTATTATGTTATATAATAACATCGTTATTATATAACATCGTTATATAATTATAGCTATTATAGTTATTATTACTGTCGAATCGGCCCAATAATTCGGCATAGTACAGCAGTACAGCCCTGTGATCGTTTTGCCCCTCTCCAGGTAGTCGATGTAGATCACACCTTGTGAATCCCAGAAAACGGAGGTCATTACCTTTCCGGCCGATGGGGCAGGCTTCGCCTTCTTCGGAGCACTTTCGCCGGGTAAAGTCCACTGTTTCGACTGTTTCTTGGTCTCTGGTGTATACCAGTGGATCCATGTTTCGTCGACTGTCACGAAACGACGCAGAAACTCCTTGGGATTGCGCTTAAACAGCGTCAGACATTACTCTGCAGTTGTCTCACGGTTGCGCTTATTGTCCGGAGTGAGCAAATGCGGCACCCATCGCGCCGACAGCTTTTTCATGCCCAAAATTTCATGCAAGACATGACCCACGCGATCTTTTGAGATGCCTACGATCTTAGCTATCTCGCGCACCTTCAATCGTCGATCTGCCAATACGAGATCGTGAATTTTTGTCACGTTATCCTCCGTGGTAGCCGTTTTCGGAGCACCTGGACGTAGCTCTTCAAAAATCTACGTGCGACCACGTTGAAACTCGTTAAACCAATTTTTGACGGTCGTTATCGAAGGAGAAGAGTCACCGTACACAGTATCCAAGCGCTTTTTGATTTCGCTGCGCGATTTCCCTTCCAAAAACAAGAATCGAATCACCGACCGATACTGCTCTTTTTCCATTTTTCAAAAATCAACGGACACGCTTGCTTTCACATGCTCTCAAAAATAAACTACAACTCCGATCCAGCTAAAATCTTGACAGTAACCATTGATAAGGTTGTACTACGTGATAGAATATTTCTTTTGCGAGAGTGGCGCCATCGGGCGGTGAGGCTAAGTACTTATCGGACCACCCTCGTAATAGCGGCAAATTTGAATTTTTATGAAAAGGGAATTCCCTCAATTAGAGTAATGGCTAATTAAAGTCTGACCTTGTTCTTAGTGACGCGTATTCTCCTTATGGGTTTAACCCTTTATAGCCTACTTTTTATGTGTTATAAAAAAGAGGTGGCAAAGCGACTGTCCAGAATACTCAGTATTCTACTTGAACGTTGAAAGACTTCGAAAGTGTCTGTATCACTTAGTTTGAGTAATATATACTTAAACTAAATTTCTACGAGTCATTTATTATAAATTAGAAAATAACTTACGCCTACTCTATATAGATCCACGATACATCCCTGGATTCTGCAGTACGAGGTTTAGGATGAGTTCACTTACACGTAATTCTATTTAATTAACTGTTACCTTTCTGGTCGGTGCTTTAGTTTGATTACCAGTCTGCTCTTGTTTAGTCTCATACCCGTGGTAAAGCGCTTATGCGTTGACCGAAAAGAGACAGTCGCGGTTGAGTAACTATTGTCAATTCGCAGCCGTTGCGTGAGACGTAACAATCCTTTAGCTGGAAATAGAGGCATAAGGATTGATATGCTCCAAATTTATTTCTTATAAATAAAGGTAAGGTTTTACCCACCAACGGCTTAGTAATTTTTTCTTTATTTAAGCGATTTGATTACCTACAGAAGCTTTAATAACTGTTATTGATTTTTCAATGAGCTTAAATGTTGTTCTAATTTGATTACATTCATGTTAAAAAATCCGGACCTATATAAATAACGAAAGTCGAAATAATAAATTAATACGAATAATACTAATAATAAAATATATAAATAAAAATAATATCGATCTATGAAATTACACAAAATAACAATATTAGTTACTTTCTAATCAAATGAATTTATATGTCCCGACTTATGACGCTGTTGCCAGATTGCTTTTAACCATTATTAATACAGAATTAGAACAGAGCGAAACAGTAAACTATGGCAAAATATCGCGCGTTTTACTTACCTTCGGATCTTTTCTGGAAAGAGCCAATAAACGAACCAATAAACAGCTCGTTTTAGCTACTTCGGCCAGCACGCCGGTCGATCTTTGTCAACCACACTGTCCCATTTTTCGGCGTGCCGGCCATAAAAGTTGTATCTCTTTTTCTCTTACTCCCTTGCGTTAACAAATGTTGAGAGTAACCGACTTGGATTTGAATCGAAAAATCGAAAGGGTTTAAAATTGATCAATTCAGTTGCTGTTTTTAATAGAAAAATATAAAAACAGTTAGAGGATAGAATTCAATTTTATTTTGATTATGCATTGGCAGAAGAATGCTTCACATATGTGGTCAGGGATTGTGGAGCAAACGATTATTATCTATTAGATAAAACTGTTGTTAAGTTAGTAAAAATACGAAATAAATTTTTAATAATATTTAATTATTCAACCTTCTTTGATTTGCTTTTTTTCAACTCGAGATATGAGAAGAATGTATGAATATTTAAAAGGACCAAGATTGAATTATTATTACGCAGAATGCAAACTCAGAATATAAGTATTGCTCACTTGGTTCATAACGATTATGAATTATACAAAAGTTTCTAAGGATTGCCAGTGCTGTTGTAAACAAATCGTGCTGAGCTGTATTTTATTACCTGTGTATAACAATGTATTAAATTCAAAAAGTCCAACAAAAATGTAACTAGCTTTTACATCAACACCTGCACTATTATGTTAAATAATATGAAAAAAATCAGTGATTCAATTATTTAAAAAAATACAGATTAACTTTTGAAAAATGTTAATACGCTATATTGACCTCGTGAGTGTAGCAATGAGTGTCGACTATTGTTATGATAACGCGCGCGCGACAGTTCAACTACACGACATTGCCAGCTTTGTTTAAAAATTTAAATGGGGTGGACAGAATCAATTTCCGTCGACTGTACTTACGACTACCGAAACTTTTGTGTAGAGGAGATAGAGCTGCTTGGTCTCATGTGTATAAACTTCACGGGCCTTCTATAAGCGTCTATATTCATTGATAAATAAATAAAATACGATTCAATTAATTATGTTACATATACCAAGTTTCATAAAAGTTGAAATAAATATAAACATTTAAGAAAACACAATTTTATATTTTGTTTCATAAAAATAATTGAATTACGTAAAAAAAATCATTTAATACTATTTAAACTTTCTCACTATCATTTTCACTTTCTCTCTCAAATAGGCTTTAATAAATCAAAATTCCTATACAAGAATATGAAAAATGAACACTTCTGCTGAGATACTTTCATTAGCATCAAAAATCTCTAAGAACACATTAAGGTATGAAGATTTTATTATATTAGAAATTTGAAGATAAGATAATCAAAAATTGACTGAGAGTATGAATTGTAAAACACCTTTTTGACTCTTGAAATACTTGAAATATAAAAAGTTTTTATTGAATCCTCAGTGATGTTAATTTCTAATATATAACAGTTAACTTTATTTCTGATTAAGTATCATTCAAAAATCTTCATAAAACTAGTAATATTTTGGATAAAATATCAGTAGATACAGCTTTGTTTTTATAATTATAAGGTTATGTACAAAGTTAAAAAATTTTTTAAATTCAATATGTATATATATATTTAAAAAAAACAATTTATAAATTAAATTAATTATTTTTTATTACTTTTTATTTGAATCGTTTAAAGGATATGATTGTTGAGCATTGTTTTTGACTTTCCACGGTCGTCTCACTTTGAAGTATTGCTTAATTTCTTTATTTCTTATTAATGTTTTGGTATTTAAACCATCAAAATCTGGATTAGATAGAATTTCATCACTGTAGGTCCTTGGAATTTTTTCCAATTGATGATCTTGTTCTAATGTACCACATTTAACTTTATCTTGTAATAACAAGTCTTCTACAAACTTTGATTTTGGAGGTATGAGAGCAGCTGCTACATATCTATTTTCAGAATTCAGAAAATTAAATGTTGAACAAGCATGATAAACTGGTAATATTTCAACTAGTATTTTATGGTTGCGAAAAATTTTTTTTATATCCAAAATAAATTGTTCATTGTATAGATAATTGTCATCTAAACCAATGACTAGTAAATCTAATTTTGGTTCAAGATTTAAAACAAGAGAAAAAGAATTTTTATTCATATCTGTTGAAGAAGCTATGTTCCAACTTAACATGAGTTTCGAAAACACAATCATAGGTCCTATTGTCCTTATTCCATTATTCAATATAAATCCATGCTAAAATGAGACCAAAGAAATTCATTAGGAACATTATAAATGATAAAAATAGCACCGTATTTTTTTTATTTTACTTCTGTTATATTGTTGATCATCAAACCATAATCAAAATTTTTATTTAAAATAGTTATTGTAGTTTTACTGTCTCCTTCATACAAGGCATGAACATTTGATGAATATAAATTTCTGTAAGCACTTAATTCAATATTTGTTAATTCAATATTTTATTAATATAAATATTTATCAAAATGATTCATCAAAATCAAAAAATTGTATTTACGTTTTTATGAAACTAAATATGTTTAGTTTCACTATCAATTGTCTTGATAAAATTGACATGATTTTCCTTTTCAATAATGGTGATATGAGAAACTGATAGAGATTCGACTAATGTATGCCTCACATATACATTATGAAGGATGAAGGAACTCACTGAGAAACTTATAAAAATAGTTTCGAAAAATTATAGAAAAACTGCACGTTGTTAGTAAGCATAGGAAAACCGATTAATAATTCCGTAAATTTTCGTTTTTATTGATAAAACGAATTTACACTATTTCCAGAGAAATAGACCTGCTCATTCAATAGTAAAAATCACACGCACTTTTTCTTTATTTTACATTCTGTAAATACTGATGCTGTTCATTTAAAAATAATTTATTTTCAGTATGCTATTTCAAGAAGGTTTGTCGATTCTGTCAAACAGCTTTCAGCAGTTGACTTCAGACCTTACAATTTTCGTAAAGCTGAAGCGAAAATTGTGGGGTCTGAAGTCAACTGCTGGAAGCTTTGTGACGGAACCGCACAAACCTGTATTACAATAATAGGTCTTAAAAGTTACCACCCAACAATTCAAATATTGAACAAATCTATAAACTAAATGCACCATTCGATTGGGCGGATTTTAGTTAATCACATATCGTTTGTTCGTCCATTATGCTCATTCTCTTTATATGAAAATCAGATAAAATTAATTATGAGTGCTGGCGGTAGCACACAAATTTCATTCTCCAAATATAGTGGTTTATATCGCGAAAATAATTTTTTACAATATACCAATCGTTAGTGCGTCTCACGCATTATTGGTACTCAACATAAAATTATTAAAAAGTTTATCATTTAATTGAGTAAAATAAAATAATACAATAATACTCTTGCGTATTTAAAAAGGTTATTATGACATTGTTTCGCGCATGCGCCTCGAATGAAACATTGTTGCTCAGTCGGAGACTCAATGCCATCTAGTAAACCGAAGTAAACTAAATTCAACTGAAGCATTGTTGTTCAGTTCACAAGTTCAGTCAGAGTGTGCCTTTCGTCCAGTGTCAAGCTTCAGCGGTGTATACTGGGACGTTTTTCAATTGAGTAAATAATATATCAAGATTCAATTTGAATATTTATTTACTATAGCATGATAGTAGCTCTTTCATGTTCATGTAAATAAATATATTTGTACGCTGTAGAATTAGCTTTGTTTCAAAGCTTAGTTGAATTATTATTGTGTCTTAGTGTGGCTGAATTGAAGTTCTCAGTTCTAAAGTAAACAAATATATTTGTATAGTGTGCGATCAGGTTTCTTTGCTGGCTTAGTTGAATTATCAATTTTATTTCATGAATTTAATTTGTTCTGGCTTGTACGTCTGATATGGAATGCAGTTCATGTCTTAACCTCTGCTTGCGATGTGGTAACATTCCAAGTGGAGGATAACAAAGAGAATATTGCCATAATAATACATAATAAATAAATTTCAGATGGAGTTGATATTTCAACATGTACTCAGTACATTTCATAACAGCTGCAAGGACAAGGAGGGTCAGACGATGAGTCTTTAAAAAATATTTTGGCTTAGTTTTGGACTCTTCTGTAGATGACATCAAGATAACACGCATGTGTTTATCTCAGCTAAAGGAGAACCAATAGATGTTACCACTGAAACACACATTTATCAGGTACTTTTGATCAAATCTTTATGAAAAACTTAACACAGGATGAATGTTTGCTACTTAAACTAAACTTCCAAAATACAATTACAAAATGGGAGTTAAATATTCAAGGTGGATTGTTTAATAGAAAAAGTAGTTGTCAATCGAGATCTTTTATTGCAAATTCAGTCCTTGAATCTATTACATGCAGTAGTTAAAAGTGAAACAATATTCTTGTATTATTTATCAAATTTATATTGATTAGCTTGTATCATCACAGTTGTTAAATGTCTTTTTATTTAAAAAATTAAGGACTCCTGAATATGCTTTTGAGATTTGTCTGGCAAAATATCGGATAAATGGAAAGCTTATGTGGTGCACCAGTTTGGTGTATAGATGTGTCACAAGAAAATATTATTTACACAGGAGGTGCTTGTCAATTATGAGAAGTTCTAGTAACTTACTCCGTGGTTTAGAAGATAAAAACTTGTTGGTTGATGCTTGTAATCTACCTATACATAATTCAAGCTACAGATTATACAAATGTCTCCAGATAGACAGTTGATTGCTTTAGCTTCATTCAAAGTTGAAATATCGCTTCACAAAAGTACGTTTAAAAGCATTTCAATATTACTTTTGAATTGTTGCTTTCATCAGTGTGGTTCAATTTTCTACTCAAGGTAAAATTTATTAACATTTAATAAGTAACGAAGTAACAATGATATAATGAATATTTCCATATTGATATGTTAAATTTTATGTTTAAGGTTTTCAAATTTTATTACAACACAATGTGCTTGCTAGTCGAGAACGATGGTTGCAACAGCTTGTCCGAATGAAAATAATATATGTGGAGACAGAAGGGGTAGTATATATAAAAACACATACTGTCATAAAAACAATAGATCATGAAGATTTTCGAAACTGTTTATTGGATTTAGAAATTATTAGGCGTGAGTAATGTAATATACGAAGTGTATTGCACCAAGTAAGAACAGAAAGAGTGCAGAAAGTAGCACTAAGTCCATATGATGATAAACGATGTATATTTGATAAAAATCCTGATACACTTCCATGGGGTCATTACAAAACCATTGAAACGTCAAAGCTTAAAATTAAGAGTACGGAACAACACAGGAAAAGAAAGATCATAGAAATGGAAGAAAATCCTCACGAAAGTTGTAAGCTTCCTCCAACATCCGATAGAAGTCGCTCAGAATAGAGTAGTAATAGTGGGGAGGAAGAAGGATTAGTTAGGAAAAGACTAAGGATACAATAGTGACAGAGTATGGATAACGGTAGAGTGGGGGGACAACGGCAGACATGGCGACTGAAGTCGGAGGAGTAGGGCAATGGAATCATATGAGAAATTACTCAAGTGGGGATGAGGCGAAAAGAGAGGGAAATTACGGCGGCTCGAGTTCTCAGAGAGGGGACGCATGGTACAAAATGGAGAACACACCTCAGTCCATCGCAGTTATTGAGCAGTAGGTTGAAGCAACAGCAGTAGTCTCTCTTCCTAGTTCTCCTATTCGACTTCTAGATTTTCTCTTAAAAGTAAGTTTCTTATATACGAGTAGCTCTCTAACTATATCCTAATAGTATTAATTATTGATTGATTTTTTTATTGTAGAATGGATTTTTCAACAATCAATAAAATAGCAAAATCGGCATTCTTACCTAGAAAGACAATGTCGCAATTAGAAATTAACTGTACCTATATGATAACGAAATTAAGAAGGCTGAATACTCGACATGGATTCAGTGTAGTAATAACGGTAGACGACGAATATGAAATTTTTCTACCAAAGCGAGTAATCTTAGCGTTAGAAAAAGACGAAGATATGTTACGGAAATTGTACGAGACCATGGAGAAAAAAGAATTATTTATTCATCATCGCGAAGTCTCGAATTTTGAATTTAAAAATTAAATTAGTATAATGTGTAAATGTATACGTAGTAAATAAATTTATATTTAAAATTTTAATTATGTCTTTAATCCTCATTTAATTATTTCTTCAAATCCTTTTTTTTGGAGAGGTTGAAATAATTACTTATTCGTTCTTTCTACTAAACTTCGACTTGGTGTAAAGGTCTCATAAGCAATGTTAGTAATGGAAGCCCCTCACAGGTGAGAGCGATGGTTGGGGCTCTCACCATTCCCTAACAAAAAAATAAGAAAGAGAGAAGGGGGCGATTTCGGCGGCTCGAAAAGCGAAGTAGTGGGGTTATATTCTAAAATAGCGATAAGATGTTAATAGGCATACCATTCTGTTCGAAGCAGTGGTAAGAAGAAGAAGTAGTAGTAGAAGCTTAGCCATGCCAGCTATAAGACACAACAGGAGATCTCACTCCTCTTCTAAGCATGTATGGTTTGCGAAGAAAGTTAAAATACATCATCTTCGATACGAAGAAAAAGACTCTAGAAAAGGTATTTGGGAGCAAATAGTACGAGATCACGAACGTTTCCAAAGACGAATTGTTGAATTGAATAAAGTTATATCACGAGTATTACTCAAGAAACGTATATTGATGATGAATAGAATGCTTGGTCCTATATTAGAAAATCATCACACTATATATATGTTAAATAAAATGGAAATCTAATTTAAAGTAGAGGGAGGCGGTTGTGGCGGCTCGAAAGCCAAAGTAGTGGGGAAAGGTTTTAAAAAAGCTGTGAGTCTCGAAGAGCTTCATTCTGCCTCAAGAATCGAGTAGTAGTAGTAGCAGTAGTAGCAGTAGTAGCAGCAGCAGCAGCAGCATCAGTACAAATAGCAGTGAGAGCAGTAGTAGAAGTAGTAGTAGAAGTAGTATTAGAAGAAGAATACGTAACATTCTAGATCTCTTTACCTACAGCAAGATAAATTTGGAAATGTTGAATAACATTGGAATGAAGCTTTTCGATATACTTCCTGAAAAAAGTCATTATGAATTGCATGAAGATGAGAATTATCTAATAACATTCATGAGACAAGATGAATCTCGAATTATTCTTGAACTCGATTGTGTGTTCGAAATTGTTCTACCGGACCGAATGTCAAGAGTGATAATTCATCATTTGGATCTTTTTATTTATCTTTCTGATAGAGTACAAAAATATGCATTATTTATTCAATATCATGGATGTGATCGATTTCAATTTAATATTAAGTAAATGTATATCTTATTATATCTCAATAAAGATTGTATTATATAAATTTCTTTTCTGAAGAGGTAAATGAGTCATTAGTGTTTCTATTAAAGCAGGTTTTGACTTGTCTTAATGGACTCACTAGTGTCGAATATAAAAATGGAAGTACCACACAGGTAAGAGCGAAGGTTGGAGCTCTTATCCTTAAAATAAAAAAGAAACAATGTAATATTTATAAATGAAAACAACACTATTTATTTAAATATAAGCTAGATACGTATAAATTTATATTTGTAATCATTGTTGTATAGTCTCCCTATTTATCCAAGAATTGTGAGTATTATCAAAGCCAAGCCATTTTACGAAGACTTCATTACCCCGTCTTCTGAGAATTTTTTCTACAAGGTAGATATCAGAATACATAGCTTTCTGTAGTTCTTGCTCATAAAAACCACCAACAATGGAATTTTCTTGATAATCTAGTAGGTGATATGTTACAGATTTAGTTCTCGAAATACGATGAATAGTAAAAATTTTTGTAGACCAATTAGGCGTATATCCTTTTTCAAAAACGTGTGTAGACTTGCTCACTCGCACTTGCTCATCTCCTACCTGGAATTTCGGT